AATTGTACAATTTGGAGAGCTTTTTCAGTTTTTCTATGATTTTCATTTATGGTTTATTGAATATTTTAGTTAGACCTTGATGATTTGGATTTTTGTGATCTTCTGTTTCTGGATTTGTTGGTTTTTGTATGTTGTTCTGAGTCTCTTGTTCGAATGGATGCAGAAAGGTGGTGAGGTTGTCTATTGCTCAGGTATTGACAGTTATCTCACAGAAGCAGAAGGCTGCGCTGAGGGAGGCATACAAGAAGAAGAAGTTCTTACCCCTTGATCTCCGTCCGAAGAAGACCAGAGCCATTAGGAGAAGGCTTACCAAGCATCAGGTATGGACACTCTTTTGCCAAATACATCTTTCTGGATTTTGTTGAATTTATCTATTTTACTCGGTTTCGGATCTTCGGACGTGAGTTTCAGATATGGATTTGAGTCTAAATATAGCTATGTTCAAACCTTTTCAAGTTTTTCCTTGGAGGGTTTATATTCACGTACTCATTCCTGAATGTGTGGGATTTGGGTGATAAACATAGGGACTTTTTAGAGAAATAAAAGGAAAATGAAAAGTCCAAGATTGGAATAACAGAGGAACAAGTTAACCCTAAAACAGGCCATTTGAGATGTCATGCTGCCTTTATGCAGCTTGAACGGATAGAACATTGAATGAAACATGTTTTCAAGACTGAGTAGATGTTGAAATTTTAAAATTCCATATTCCAAGGATGATTGTCTGAATTTAAGATATTAATTTCATTTGTACAATATTTATCTTGTTTGAACCATTTTTGTTTTTTGGCTGTTGGACCATCTTTTAATACACACTCTTCAGTTAACTTGTAACATTTTAGTTTTGCTTACCATCCGTGTAGCTTGTTTAGTTGTATCTGAATGTTGGTTTTCTTGCTTGCCACAGTCATCGTTGAAGACAGAACGGGAAAAGAAGAGGGAAATGTACTTCCCAATGAGGAAGTATGCCATTAAGGTTTAGGATAAGATCTTTCAGACAAGATTCTATTTTTGAATCCTTTTATATTTACTTACTAGTATCATATATGCGAAACTGGAGTCATAATTGTGTTCAATTTTTAAGTTTTTGAACTTTTCCGATGTCAAATGCCAAACCTAGATGTTGATCTTTTTGATGAAGTGGTAATCAAATGAGAGACTTGTGCATTTGTTAATGAGATAGATGAATGTTAGATTTATATCATATTGCGTTGGTTTTCTGGAGGACCACAGGGACTAAAGTTTTTAACAGCAATGGAAGTTGTTGGTTGAGCACGAAAGTTTGGACTAGATGAGGACATCATGATGATGTACCCTAGTAATACCTTACCTGCAAATCATGGGAGGAGGGTCAGCCATGGAGGTCTAAATGGCTATGGAACCCTCTGAACTTACCAATGCATGCAGCTGGCTAAAACCCCTTTAGATATAGAGTTGGAATGTAATTGAGTTTGATTTTTACAACTTGCAATTAGTCTGATTAAGATAAGAATGACTTGTTTAGAAAATATGTTTGATTTTCAGATTACAACATGAGTTGACAAGGGCATTGGAAGATAAGATGGTCAAAATCAGTTTTGCGTTGTCTTTTATTTTTTGTTTGAAGGGTACTGCGATTTATTAAAAATATTTATATTGGACAAAAACAGATAAAACTATATCTAAAGATAAGTTTATATACAAGTAGTTGTTTTTTAAGTTTTACTAAAAAAATATTTATTACATTTGTAAAGTGATTAAGAATTCTCAATCCCGATCGCTTGGTCAAATGTAAACAGAATCCGGGATTTGGTAAAAATGGCATTTTAGGGTTCAAGAGCCGCAACTTCTTACTTGACCTACACCAGTGGCAGTTGGTGAAGTCTTGCATTCTTCATTTCAACCGTTGAAACTGTCAAACAATTATAATCAAAGTCCACCACGTTTTGAGGTTATTAATCATCCCTCACCATCACCACCAAAAAAAAATTGATAACTTGTTCGATAATTTCCTATAGTTTAATGCCACTTTCATGAAAATGGCATCATCTTTTCTATTATCCCCCATTTTTTTTTCTTACCAACACATAATATAGTTTTTATCAAATCAACATAAAGTTGGACCCATATGTATTTCAACATTATTTCCATTTTTTTTAAATATCATTGAAATCAAATATTTTAAAAAATCAATATCCATGCTTATATTATATTCTTACTTAGATCTTTTTGTTTGTTTTTATTAAATGTTTAACGTTATATTAAAATTTATATTGTATTTTATTGTTCTCAGTCTCATATTTCTTTCAGATTTAGCCTTATGACTAATTTTATTATTAATCTAACAAAGTTTAAATTTTTTAAGTTTCAAATTCAGCTCAATTCAATACTTTATTTCATATTTCTCACATCAATAAAATATTAAAATTGTATATTTTATATTATATAAAATATTTAAATTTATAATTAAAGTTATTTTTTGAAATATATATTATATAAATCAAACTCAGACAAAAATAATATGATACAAGAAGAATAAACTCATGCTTAAACTTGGACCGCACCTATTAATCATGTGTCTAATTAATTGACTAATCTATTACTGACATATCACTTTCCATCATCATCAAATGTGAATATTATTCAATATTAGTAGTCTTTTTTAAAAAAAAATGATTTTGAACGAAAACAAATTTTCTATAAAATATTATCCCATTGTTTTGTCCTTCATTTTACATTTTTTCATTGAAAAATGTTCTCCATATGTTGTGTATTAATGATGGGTTTTATTTTACTTCAAAATTTTCAATTTGTTTCAAAAAAAATTCAGAAAAACGTTAGATGACGTGGATATATTTTTAACGATTGAATGGTTTTCCAAAAAAAAATAATATAAAACGAATTATAAATGTATAAACACAGTAATTAATTTAGACCAAAGAAACTCAACCATTGTTGTTTCTTGATAGACCTTAACCTCGTTTCATTATCTAAAAATAATTAATGATTAATTAATCAATATTAGAATTTCTCGCAAAATCGAAGACTAATCCGTATATTTAATTAATTATGGAGTGAGGGGGGAAAAGTGTCACTAAAGTAGTCTCTATGCTATTTTTGTCACTAATCGAAGACTTTATTTTTGTTAAGATAATCTCTATGCTATTTTTATTTAAAAGTATTAAGTTATCCTTAATTTATGTTCAATTTTATTATTAATTATTTATTCCATAATTATAAAAGATAAAATATATTTTTAATCTCTTATATTTATATTTCTTATATATTTAATCATTAATATTTAAAAGTAAATAAAAATTTATTATTACTTGGAAAAAATTAATCATTTACGTTTTAGATTCTAAAGAGTGAAATTCATAAAAATATATAAATATAAGAGGTTAAAAAGTTATTTTACCTTTTATATAACTGCTAAGTCAACGTCTAATAATAAAACAAACAAAATTAGAGAAATTAAATATATAATTTAGAAATTAAAATATATAGATAAAATTTAAATTTTAAAATAATGTAAAAAACCTCTAATATATTTAAACCAATCTTCTTGTCTTTGGTGGAAAGGACCAAGTGGAGATGAATGAAAGGAGTCGTCCTCTAAAATTTTTTATTTTTTTATATATTTTTCATTGATAATTTTTTTGATTTTTTTTATATATTTTTCATTGATAATTTTTTTTCTGTAACATAAAATCTTATGTTTGTTTTGATTTGGTGTTTGAAATCGAATTGTATATAAAATTAAGTCAACCATTTATTAGTCAAAAACTAAATCTTACAATACGTGTCTACGTATTTTCATTCCTTCATCCTTTATTATTTGTATTAAATTATAACTCAAAGTGTTACTGGAATAATAGTTTTTAATTGCCAATCATTAGTTTAAGTGGGTTTAAATATATAATATGTATCATTTTAATTATATTTATATATATTAAAATATTATGATAAGTCAAATGTATAATATGTTTTAATTTAGTTATATTTATGTATATATTAAAACATTAAAATGGTAAGTAGAACCAGATCAAAACAAACTCAAATAAGAAAATTTATCTATGCTTCAATTTAAGAATTTTTAAAGTGGATGTCAAATATGGTAATAAGGTATAGGATGAGTTAGTAGAAGTTACAGGGATAGTAATGGGATGAGTTTTTTGACATATCTGAATTTGATATAATTTTTATAAAATTTGTTTCTAACTTTATTTAAATTACAATATATTTTTTTAATTTTATTAGAATATAGAATTAATTAAATAATATATTTTTTAATTTAATAACATTAAATTAATATAATATTATAATTGTAATACTTACACATTAATATTTTACATGCACCTTTTTATTATCAAAATCTAATTAATAATATATAAATAAATATCAAAATTCGTAATTATATCAAATTTAGACGAAACATGTATATTTTAAACCATAATCTAACTCGATCTGACTAAACAAATCAAACTTAAGATTTTATCCGACCTTAAATCTAATTTTTCTTAAGAAACAGAAAACCTTGATCTATCCATTTGAAAATCATCGGAGTATAAGTTGTTCTATCATCCTTAACCATTCAAAGAGTGAGAGGAGTCCATTCCCTCAAAATTATGGTATAACAATACTTTAGATCTTTCTTAATTTAAATATTAATTAAATTAAATTTTAAGTTTATATACTTAATAATTTAGTATTTTTTTCTGATGTTAAATAATTTTTTTTAATATTTTATATCTGATCTTAATTGTATCTTTAACATCAAATTTAAATATTATTTTACGTAAATATCCGAAATGAAAAACTTGTAATAGAATCTAAAATTTTGATATTATTTTATAAATCTGGTATGCTTATTCAAATATATAAGTCACCAACATTTATTTTCAAACTAAAACATTCAACACGGATTTTATAAGTAAACGGTATAAACTTGCTGCTTCATTCGTCTATATAACCCGTTTGCCCACAAATGAAAAATAACACCAAATCCAGCTTCCTTCTTCTTCAATCTCTCTCCTGTCCTCAAGGTTCGAATTTAAAAAAAAAATGGTGTTATTTCAGACTGCAAACAACCACAATCATCTGAACATCCCGAGAAAAGGGTTGTCTCCACTTTCTAAAACACCCATTCCCACCTTTTCTTCTCCAAGCTCCCCAACTCCTTCAATGGCGAAACAAACCATTCAAAATGCTGAATCAATCATCAAAAAATGGGATGTAAACTCTTCTTCCTTAACCAGTGTTACTCCTCTCTTTCACCATAACAGGAAAGAAGCCAGAGAGTTTCTCAAATGCGTTATGGATCTTCGTGGATCCATGCATTTTCTCGTTTCTCAAAATTCATCTCCTCACGACCTCGTTCTTGCTCAAAACCTCATGCAAATCGCCATGAAAAGACTCGAGAAAGAGTTTTATCAGATACTGGCTTCGAACCGTGAGCGGCTCGATCCGGAATCGGTCTCGACGAGTCTTTCGTCCGATGGCTCAGCCAGTTTCCACTACGATGATGATGAAGACGAGGTTGATCAGCTGAAAATAGCCGGTGAGTCGATCAGCGAAGTGGAGAGAGTTTCAGCATTAGCAATGACGGATTTGAAGGCTATTGCTGAGTGTATGAGCAGTTCTGGTTATGGCAAAGAGTGTCTGAAGATCTACAAGTTGTTCCGGAAATCAATAGTTGATCGAGGCTTATATCTTCTTGGGATCGAAAAGTTCAAATCTTCCCAGATCAACAAAATGAATTGGGAATCACTCGATTTTTCGATCAAGAACTGGTTGAATGCTGTGAAGATTGCTGTGAAGTCACTCTTTAATGGCGAAAAAATCCTCTGCGATCATGTTTTTTCGGCATCTCAAACTATAAGAGACGCTTGTTTTGCTGAAATAACAATGGAAGGAGCCACGAATCTCTTCAAGTTCCCCGAAATCATCGCCCAGAACAAGAACTCACGGCCGGAGAGAATTTTCCGACTACTCGAACTCCACGGAACAATCTCCGAACTCCGGCCTGAGATCGAATCAATCTTCAACGTCGATTTGACCTCGGCCATTAAATCCCACGCCCTTTCATCACTGCAAAAAGTTGGTGACTCAGTTTTCACATTGCTAATCAATTTCGGATCATCAATCCGAAAAGACTCGTCGAAAACACCGGTTCCGGGTGGAGGAATTCATCCCCTCACCCAATCCTCTATGAGTTACATATCTTCCCTGTCGGATTACGATCGTATTCTCTCCGATATTCTATCGGTTCATCCGCCGGCAGAAAACCCACCATTTCCAGAATCCTATTTTAACAATCCGACCGCCATCGAAGCTGCTCCGATCCATCTTGCATGGCTTATATTGGTGCTTTTATGCAAGATCGACAGTAAAGCTCAACAGTACAAAGATGTCTCTCTTTCATATCTTTTCTTGGCAAACAATCTTCAGTTCATCATTAACCAAGTTCAAACAAGTAACCTTCAACATCTTTTGGGTGATCAATGGCTGTCCAAACATACCCAGAAGATCAAACAATATGCTTCGAGCTATGAATTGGTAGCCTGGAATCGGGTTTTCAAAACTTTACCCGAAAGAACAACACCAGAACTATCGCATGAAGCAGTCAAAGACTGTTTCAGAAGATTTAATGCTGCTTTCGAAGAAGCTTATATGAAACAGATTTTGAGGAGTGTACCAGATGGGAAGTTAAGGGATGAATTGAAGGTTTCGATTGCTGGGAAACTTGTTCCTGTTTATAAGGAATTCTACGAAACGTATTCGAGGATATCGAATGGGGATTTCGTAAGGATTTCGCCTGATGATTTGGGGAATTATTTGTCGGATCTGTTCCATGGAACTCGGATTTCATCGAGTTCTTTGCCATCGCCATCTTCGTCTCATTCAAATGGCTGTCTTCTTCGGTGAAAGTGACAATTCAAGAACTGTGAATTCGATGTCTGGTATACAAAATCTGTGGAATATGTCTCCTTTCTGATGTTCTTAAATGTTTTAGTTTTCTGATCTGTTTTACGAAGTTTAGGTTCTGATTTATTGTTTTACATTCAGAATTTGGGTAAGGTTATGCCTCGAAATGTCAAATGTCTAATAAATAAAGGATAAATATCAAATTTATATAAGAACTTTAATTTAATTTATAATATATTTGTGATATATAAAATTTGATTTTACGTACTAATATATTATAAATTTAAAATACATGTTAGGAAACCTTCTAAATTTTAAAATATTATAAAATTAAAATGCACGAACCAAACCACAGAGAGACTTGTAACCAGAGACATACATATAATTTTATGTTAGAGGAGTGAATTTATAAAATTTTAAAGGAGATATGAATTTATAAAATTTTAAGATGGTGAAAACATATTTTTAACCATAAATATAAAGAAAATATCTAAAATATATATAAATTTAAATTTTTTAGGGGGAATGACCGTCATCGCTTGCCCTCTATAGGTTCATCTTTGTTTGTTATCCTTATAAATCCTAGATTCAAGCACCAAAAACTATAAAAATTTTTAAATTTTTATTGTGAACCGGTGGTGTAAAAAAACAAATACAACATTAAAATGTTTATTATATTTAAAACCCGATAATCATTAAAAAAAATAGGCTTGATACATTAAGCATTAAAAAGTGACATGATTCAATAAAAAGTTATCACGTGTCGAAATAACTAAAACCAATAAAACTTTTAAAATATAAAACAACCAGAACTTATTTTTAAAAACTATATATATTTAGAAATTATAAGAAGATATCGAATCTGCATATAAATATAGATTAAATGTGCAATGTAAAATATAAACTTCAATTTGATAGAATTATATATGACTTTAATTTGATTTAATTACACATTAAATTTTGATTTTGATTTAATTATACATACATATTTAAAAATAAATTTATTTATTTTTATATTTGATAAACATAATAATTTATGCACTTGAGGTAAATATTAGATCAAAATATAAAAGTGTGGGACACAGAGACGCATACAACGAGTATTTTGGGAAAAATAAAGAATTCGTGAAACGTAGCTCACAACAAAGAATACGAGTCTAGAAGTACAAGTCCTCAATCCTCATTGGCCGCAATGATTTCACTGAGGCTCATCCAAGATTTTCTCCTCCTCTTACCAGAAGCACCAACTGTTTTTCCCACATCAGGTGTCATCGGAATGTTTTCCTGTTCAACCGGTCTTTTCGACCCGGATTTGTTCCTATTTCTCTTTTTCAAATCCAACAAAGTCCTACCTCTACCTGGAGTCACAGGAGCATCTGTGTTCGGATTTTCAGCAGCAGCCACTGCAGGTAAACTTGTTAATTTCATCTCATCAGTATCATCTTTGTTTGTTTCTTCACCTGAACTGATAATAGCCTTCAAATTTCTGGACTTGACAACTTTGGGTATCGAAGATGATGTTTTTGACTTGGGAGGGTACATTTCTTTCATGTGGCCCTCTGGAGTCCCTCGTTTTAGATTCCGATGCAAACAGAAGTGACAGTTGTAGACCACGGTATTCTGTGTCGAAATATAGGGTTTCTTACGTCTATGCCTTGCATTGGCTCGATTCTTTTCGATGCGAACAGTGCAATTAAAGGCAGGCTGAAGAATCGTCTCACATCTGCAAAACATTAAAGTGAAATCAAATCAAATCAAATTCAACTCCATACGCTCCACTGCATTTAACATGACAATAGAGTAAAACAGTAAGCAAAATTATCAAACTAGTTATTGAACTAAACAATTAGAACCGACAATCTAGATAGCATCTTATACCCATATTCTTCATTTTTCTCAAGTGTATCGATGTTTAACATTTATGTCGGACACATATTTGGACATGAGAGTAAGATCCTCAAATATATGAAAAAACTTGGTGTGGGGGGGATTAAAAACATCCATATCCAACGAGTTATCAGATAGGCTGGACAGCACTTCTCAAGAGAATTTCCCCATATCTCACCCCTCCCCAATGCCCAACATTATTAAGAGCAGATTCACTTAAGCAAAACCACTTGCAGTTCAATTCAAAATGAATGATCAGTAACTAAACCAGCACCAAACAAACTTGAAGTATGGAATCAACAAATAACTGTTTTTCAGTAATCAATTTCTCGTCACAAACGCATCTAAGTACTCGATATCAAAGCCTAAAGTTTTAACAGTAAAAAAATAAGACCTATCTAGTTGTTGAGTCAATTGCATTCTGTTGTGGGACTCAATGCTGGCACGATACATATGAAATAGGATTGTAAATGACACTTGTGCTCACAAGCTAAAACATTCAAATTCAACTTCATCCTTGTTGAGTGGAGTTCAAACTACGTAACGAACCAAATTCAAATATTGTAACACGATCCAAATAGCTTGTGAACCTAAATTTTTTTTATAAAAGTTGGAGGTCTCATTAAAAACCCCCTTCGTATTCTTCCACATACTTAGAAGTACGTTGAAGAACATTGGAAGGAAGAAAAGAGTGCCTCATAATTTATTAATCAGAACATCAAGTACATGTGAAAACACCCAATACCCTCATACGGGAATATACACCATTACAAAAACCATATCACCTAAAAATCTCCCATCGTCAAACAAAAAGCCCCAAAGACAGTAACCCGATTTCTAAAATACACCACAAGTTGCAAAAGAACATAACAAAATAAAAACCAACACTTGAAACCAAAAAAACTAAAAGAAACGCCTCTGAATACAGCTTTCGAACAGTTACGATCTAATTTAAGAAACAAGTTCTAATGAAATATCGCAATCTTCAGGGACTCAAGAATTTGGTTTGAATGAAGAATCAACTTCATGCACCATGATTTTGAATAAAGTAGCACCGACCTTCAACTCCATCAACTCATCAATTCTCACTTGAGCCTTTGTGAGTATTTGAATTTTAGCCCGATCAAAGGACGACGGAAACTCACAACTGTTGTCAATTGCTAATAATTTGCCCCACTTAGCTGCAATGTTTTTGAAATTATCCAATTCCAAGCATGAAAACGAACACCTTCGCAAACTAACCACACGCGACGACACTCTACCACCAGACTCTGTGACCAAGTTTCAACTCTGGAAAACCATTTTGCAATAGTCTCTAATTTATCATCCTTTACGCTTCTCAACGAATCAGAGTCTTCAAAAACCATTAGAACTACATTTCCAGCAGCTCTCATTAGCATGAAACTAGCTAGTCTTTTGGCTTACATTTGGTTAGCAAGATCACCGATTTTGATAAAGTTCTTGCACCACCCCACAAGACAGTTACTCAACATGTGAAGTTTATCTTCGTCCACAACACCCTCAACTTCACAGTGTTTATTCCTCGAAACATCTTCCATCCCAGACTTACGTTGAACAACTGTCGAGGACTTTCTCCAATAAGACTGTCGAGGTTTATATTTAGCCAAAGAGACTCTAATTTTGCTGCCGTAAATATGAGCACCGTTCATCTTTGATATCGCTTTCCTTGCTTCTTCAATTCTTGCAAAGCGAATGAACCCAAAACAAACCCCTTTCGAATTTCTTTTTTTAGGAATGAAGGCATCAATAACATAACTGTGAGTGCAAAATAAGGATCCAAGTCTCTTCCAATGGATCTTCTCTGGTAGGTTTTCAATGAATAACGTGAAGCATCCACTTCTGTACACATTACTAACATTTGTATGGCCTTCCTTCCACCAATTATTAAATTCGAATCTCTCAGTTCTTGCTCTTTCACCAGAGTTGTTACCACTACACCCCTTTGTGCTGAACTCATTGATTCCATCGTGGACAACATCTTCAGCAGGTTGAGCTGTTGATGCCTCTACTAAAGCTCGCTTCCCAATCCCATAATTCCTTCGTTGTGAAGGAGGCAAACCTTCAGGCCTAAATTTATTATCCGCCTTTCTGCTGGCCAAAAAAGTCTCCTTATTCGCCGACGAAACGTCCAATCGGGATATGGTATGCTTGTCCTCACTCGACCTCGAATTCTGCATAACACCTCCCATTGTACCACCATTGACAGATTCCTTCACAACTAGTGGATTCTTCCATACACGACCCTCAGCGAGAGCTTGCATACGATCACGGTAAATACTCGCAGTAGTAGTGTTATGCTTGGTAGCGATATCAGTTTCTTTGGGAATACCATATTGTGCCAAAAAAGAGTTGAGCTTGTTGTTGGTACTTGATTCCATTTTCTTGATCTGGATGTCTGTCCACGAGTCCATGTTAACAGCTTGAACGAACGAGATATGTATACCTAAGCCTTGGTGTTTGCAGGAACATTACGAGCACATGAAAACACCGTAGGTTACTGAAGCCCACTGTGGATTTTTATTTTTACAGTCAACACAAATTTTGTTACTCTGCCGAGATTGTAGAAACTGTAATTGGCTTGTAGCTGCCGACCTTGAAGCAAAGTTCTCGGAAGGAGCCTTTAACCTTAGTTTTGCCTCTCGTTTGGCTAAACCCAAAGGTGAGTGGGCGTAGAAACTCTCTGGGAAGAACATACCTCGGATCTGAGACGATCCCGCAAGGGATATAGATTTCGTAATTCCATAATTCTGCGAAGGAAGCAGTGGTAATGGCAAAATCCGTTAGTGCTCTCAGTCTCCATATATTTCTGCAGTGAACCAGACCCGAAGAAAATCTCAAGCTTGGTTTTAACGCCAAATCCGATATAACTCAAGCACACGCGTTGAAGATTGAACCAAATTCTCAACTCGGAAGGCAATTAAATTCAGATTATAACAAAAATCTGAAGCAAAGCAGAATTTGAAAACTGATCGGAATCCTTCTTTCTTCAAAGATACAGAGAATGCTCGGTGGAACCAACAAGGGCGGCAAAATTGAAGAATCAGTCAGCTTATGTTCATTGTGGAAGTATATCCTTGATGATGACTTCGAAGCGAGCAAAAAAGGAAGTCCCTGTGTTCAACGGGAAATACTTTCCGATGATACGGATGATATAGTTACCGGATTTATCGCGTCACTGACGGCGGAAGAACTGGAGGAGAACGAGGTCGGAAAAATCCTGGGGACAGTCGAGCCAGTGGTCTTGGTCTTCGATTTCAGTGTCGTGGTTGGAAAAGAAAGGACGGGATTCTATACCCAATTCGGAAGCAAGCACCGCCACTGAGAAATCATCATTTGACGAAATCCACGAACCTTTTTAATTTCCTGTCTGACGGGGAGAATTTCGTCTGAACGCGAATTTTTTCTTCTAGATCTACTCCGATTTATTTCGATTTTGAAAAAACCAACGTCCGATCTATGCTTGGGGTGAAGAGAGGATTCAAAAGGTGTATTTTTCTTCCTTTTCCGATGCCACCGAGCGACGGTCGGAGACTATTGACGGTGACTGTCGCGGCAGCGAAGTGGTGGCCGACCACTGGGTTTGAAAGGAAAGACGCCGGGGAGTGTGGATGTGGTTTACAAGGAATGGAAATTTGAAATTTGAAATTTGAAATCGCCTGAATTAGCTCTCACTAACAAAAGTCCTGTATAGTGTTTAGATTTGTCTTCGCTTGTGAACCTAATAAATTTTTTTTAATACATATTGTTGAATTAAGCTTAGCTTTTAATAGGTAAACGAGACTAATCGAGCAAGCTTGAGTAAATTTTTATCTTGAATTGAGCTCAAAGCTTAAAAGTGAAATTCAATCGATTAACTTAGAACCTCGAACTTAAACTTGATTTAGCTCGATGGCACCTCTAATTCGTAACCTCATAAATAACTTTTATACACCTATGCAAGTTAACTAGAACCAAATACAATCCAAAGGCAACCAATAGATCTCAAATTCTCATAACACAGTTCAGATCCAGAAAATACTAACCTCTGGCAAGGAAATAAAGAAGGATCATGGGGGATTGCCGAAGCTTCTCCATCAGCGGCCAACCTGTGCCCAAAAAAAGAAGCCAAAGAAGGGATTGAGGCTTCGCCACTAGCCCAGACGGCTAGGTTTTGCAAGTGCTCGTGTTTCAATGCAGCTTTGACGTTGGTGGAACCTCCTCCCCTTGTTTGCTTCTTGCCAGTCGCTTCTTCTCTGAGTGAGACCGTCTTTTGGAACTTCAACGGCGTGTTTGCAGCTCTTTTCAAGCCTCCGGCATCTCCACTACCACTTCTTCCTCTCTTTCCCATGTCTTCACTTTTTTTCTTCCTTAAGCTTCTGTTTCCTTCTTCAATTTCAGCGACAAAAAAAATGTAGCAGTGGCAAACAGAACAGTCAACAACATAAACTCAAGTTTAGGGATGAAAAAATTATAAAAAAAAAATTAAATGGACGAGCTATTGGCATCGATATAAAAATTAAAATAAAAGAAATACCTCACTACATAACTGAAACAAAACAATACCTTGAGAATGGTTTGACCATGGCTTAACATCGCTTTGATTTTGACAAAGAAACAAAGCTATAATGCTGGTTCTAAGGATTTCAACACAACGACAAGGGGGTCACGGCGTGGCGGCGCAGCTGGGGGTTTTGATATGGATAGACAGCAGATTGCGACAGCGAGCAATAAGGGATGGGCAGAGTAAAGTTTTGAAGGTGCAACACTGAAAATCAAGAACGACGTTCTCGGGTCGATGGGTGACACTGATGAAGGGGGACGATGTCGGTGAACAGGAAAAGATGATGACAGCGGCGGCGTTGGGTGTTTTTTTGGCGAATATGTTTTATGTTATTTTGACCTCAGGGACATCATATTCTTAAATGTAAGGATTAATTCTATAGTTGGTCACAGAGTTAACTATATATTCAAATTAGACCCTATTTTCCCGATTTGATTATCAAACTTTGAATTTGTCCAGTTTAATCCCCAAATAATATTATTAATATATGATTAAGTCCTTTAAAGTATAATTTATTACAGTTTAGTCCATCATAATTTGAGTTCATTTAAACTATTGCAAATTATTTCTCACACTTATAATCCTAGAATGAGATGTGATAGTAAAAACAAAAAAATAAAAAAGTAATGTACCGTCAAATAAGGACGTCATTAATTGATTAATCGAAATAAAAACCAACATGAAAGGATATATTTATTATTTTATCAATATACATAAATTAATTTTATCATTTTATAGATATATTTATGTTTATAACTATAGGATATATGTTTAATCACAATTCATAAATCCATTTTAACATGTTATTAATAAATTGGGAAGGATACACTGCTTGGTTACGTAAATTCTGCTCTCACTTCTGGATCCGTTGATGCAGAGACGATGAAAGTATATTTAGTGCTTAACCCAAAAGTTAACGCAGCAGACAGGATTACTTTATTTCGCCCGATCAGACTCTTTAATACTTATAAGATCTTATCGAAGACCCTCGTTCAACGTATGAAACCCATTCTTCAAAGATTGGTAGGGCCGTTTCAGAATAGTTTCTTGGCAGGCAGGAGTGTTACAGACAACATTCTAGTAGTCCAAGAAGCTGTCCATACGCTAACGAACCTACAAGGAAGAAAATGATCAATTATAATGAAAATAGACCTTCAAAAAGCTTATGATAAGGTCAGCTGGTCGTTTCTACTTAAAACACTACGAGATTTTGATTTTCTAGAGGAGTTTGTAGCCATAATAATGCATTGCGTGGAAGCCAGTACTATCGAACCATTATGGAACGGTGAAACGACTGAAAGTTTCGAGCCAGGACAGTGTCTACGCCAAGAAGACCCCCTATCACCCTATTTGTTTATCTTAGTTATGGAACGACTCTCACACATGATCGTAGAAAGAGTAGAGGACGAGGAGAGGAAAGCAATAAAAATATCTAGATGGGGTCCTAAAATCAGTCACATATTCTTTGCGGATGACCTACTATTATTCGTCGAAGCAAAAGCTGAGCAAATAAGTCGAGTAAGGGAATGCCTAAGGATATTTGGGGAGACTTCAGGCCTAGAAGTGAACCAGCAAAAGTAAAAAAAATTCGTGTCCCCAAACATCGGCAATGAAACGGCCAATTATTTAAGTGAGCTAAGCGGATTTCCCTTAACTGATGAGTTGGGCTTATATTTGGGCGTCCCTATTATTCACAAAAGAGCAAACGCAAACACGTACGCCCCTTTCATTAGCCAAAAGAGCAAACGCAAACACGTACGCCCCATTCAACGTGCAACAAAATAGACAGCATAAATAGGAATTTTCTTTGGGGTGGTGGCACCGAATATTCTCATAATCATTTAGTAAACTGGGACACAGTTTGTAAGCCAAAATCAATAGAGGGCTTGGGTCTCCGAAAAGCAAAGATGATGAACTTGGCCTTGATGGCAAAAAACGGATGGAGTATGCTTAAGCAATAGGACATGCTCTGGTGCAAGATTTTCAAGGAAAAGTACCTAATTCAAAAGGAATTTATGGAGGCTACTACCCAAGCTAATAGTTCTTCAACTTGGAAGGGAATCCTTAGCACACGACAGATCATTAGAGCGGGCAAGAAGCATCAAATAATCTCTCGGGAACAAACCAGATTTTGGTACGATTGGTGGGTGGGCGAAAATTCGTTGAAGAAGAGCTACCCAGAGATTGAAGTAAACAACAGGAACGAGAAAGTGGCTCTATTCATTACGGAGGGAAGAACATGGAAACTTCTAACAATTCAAAATTTGATTACAGAAGAAACGGAGAAGCAGATTAAAGGAACCCCAATATCGCTTACAAACACTGGTCAAACGCAAGATAAAGTTTACTGGGGTCACTCGAAAGATTGCAAATTTACAGTGAAATCGACCTACTCAACAATGACAAGTCTGGAAAGTACAAATCAACAGAAACGTGAACTAGGATGGATTTGGAAAGTGGAATCCACTGAACGCATCAGAATGTTCATTTGGCTTTGCATACTAAACAAAGTTGAATAAGCATGAGATTAGAGTTAGAAAGAACATGACCCAAGAAATAAATTGCAAAGATTGCCAGAATGCCCCAGAATCGTTGGAGCATATTTTAAGGATTTGCAGTAAAGCGCAACAAACCTGGGATAAGATAGGAGCAAGACACCAAGATGAAAAATTCGACCGATGAAACTCCGATGATTGGATGAAGAGAAACTGCAAAGCAAAAAACTCATGGAGAGAAGGAATTTGCTGGGGCACCCTCTTCGCGACCACTATTTGGGGGTTGTGGAAGAGCAGAAATGATCAAAATTTTAAAAACAAGGCTCCTGATCCGAACCAAATCATTCAGTATAGTTTGAAGAACGTAGAATGGATTAGAGATGAGGATGGAGAGTGGATTGGAGGTTTCATGAACTGTATCGGAAGAGGAAATCTGGGGAGTCGGACAGGGGCTCCTACTAGCAAAGAATCTGAATGCGAGAAGCTTGATTGTCGAGCTTGACGCGAAATGGGTCGTTGAGGCTCTGAACGGTGACTTAGAAGAAGACCACCCTGAATATACGATCATGGAGGATTGTGTAGAACTACGAAAGGAATGTTGGATCAAGGAAATCAGACACATTTGGCGTGAGGGGAACAGATGTGCCGATCGACTGGCAAAAATGGCGTTTGAACAGGAAACAAACTCAGACTTTACGAGGGAACCACCAGAGGAAGTTCGTCCATTGATGATGGCTGATGCCAATGGGGAAGGAAGACTAAGAGGATAGTAAACTGCTTGGAGCAGTTCCTTTTTGTACCAAAAAGAAAATGGATGTTGGATAGATATTTTAATTTTTTTTCATATTTAATTTTTTATTGGTCAAAACTAATAATTTTTTTTAGGATAAATCAGAATTTTTTTATCCAAAATAGCAATGTTATGCTATAACCAATCAACAAAAAGAACAAAACATATTAATTACAAAAGAACTAATGATTGGTTAGAGTATATCTCAAGCATTACAAAGGTAAAAGTTAGCACTATCAAGTCTGTTAATAGATTTACCCCTAAGCATGATACTAACAACTTCAATGATTTCTTTGAGCATAATGTCGACAGTTCGGGATCGACCCTGAAACATTCTACGATTTCGTTCTTGCCACAAGGAGTAAATAAAAGCGTTCCACAAAATTTTCAAGATAATGGTGATAAGGGATTTCCCTTTCCACGTTGAGCTAGCCCGAGAGACCATTTCATCCCAAGTCAGAGCAGTATAGTTCATACCATTCAAGTTTAGGATAGATTTCCAGAGTTCAACAACCAAGGAATATTGAGAAAACAAGTGGTCCCTTGTTTCTTGGTAGATTCTGCAGTTAATACAGATTCCATCAGTGCTTATTCCCATTCTTTGTAACCGATCACTGGTAGGTAACCTATTCAAAATGGTCATCCAAGCAATCAAGCTATGCTTTGGTAAATGCATAGGATACCATATGAGTCTATGCCAATGAACTTTATGCCCTTGTGTCCGAATTTTATCCCAGATTTCCTTTGTCTGCAGAGTACCAGAAGAGATAAGAGGATAAACAATGGTCCTCATTTTTAGAATTCTGCTGATGCTCCAGCTGATATTAGTTCCAACTTCAAACTGCCATAAATTATGCTCTTTAAATACATAATTTTTTTAGTCATGCAACCCAAAACGAACCATCACCTGCAAGAATCTTCCTTATGAGGCTTATAATGCAAGCTCTATTCCAAATTAAAACATTTTTCAGCCCTAAACCTCCTTCAAACTTTATAAGACAAATTTGGTCCCAACTTACTCCAGCTCCGGCTGCCGATTTATCTGCTCCTTTCCAAAAGAACCTTGACCAAAGTTAATCCACTGATTTTAAGATAAAAGCTGGGAGGATAAGTTGTCTGCACCAAAAAATACTGACACTGAATAATACAGATCTGATTAGCTCAAGTCTGCCAGCGTAACTAAGATTTCTAGCAGACCAGTGGTGTAACCTTTGCCTAATTTTGTCAAACAATGGTTCACAATCCTTTAGAGAGAGTTTACGAGTAACAAGTGGGATACCAAGATACCTTACAAGCAGACACCCTATTTTAAATCAGAAATATTTTTCATCTCCTCTAAATCCCTAAAGGAGATACTCGTATTTGGACGAATTTAAATTAAGTCCTGAAACTTGATAAAATTGGTGAAGAACACTCAAGACACCAGCCACTGAATCAATGTTACCTTTACAGAAACTCAGGAGATCGTATGCAAAAGAGAGTTGAGTTAGCCCGATCTTCTTGCATTTTGGGTGAAAGGCAAAGATTCCTTTAGCAGCAGCTAGATTAAGCATTTTAGAAAGAACATTCATTGTAAGAACGAATAAGTAAGGGGAAAGAGGGTCCCCTTGTCTTAATCCTCTAACCCCTTTGAAATAATCAATTAAGGTACTATTGAAAGCAATAGAGTACATAGCTTGAGTAAAACAAATTTCAATCCAAGCAATAAATATTTGAGGTAGATGGAGTGCTTTAAAGATTGCTGAAATGAAACTCCAATGCAAGGAATCAAAGGCCTTGTGTAAGTCAATCTTCATTGAGCATCTTGGAGAAATGATTTTCCTACTATATCATTTTACCATCTCCTGAGCTAGAAGGGAATTGTCAATAATGTTTCGACCTCGGATAAAAGCAGTCTGATTCAAGGAGATAATCTCAGGTAGGAAATCTGTCATTCTGCTAACAATGATTTTTGAAATAATTTTGTAGATGACATAACAACAGGAGATTGGCCTAAAATATTTAACAACATAAGGATTAGGGACTTTAGGAACAAGAGCAATAATTGTGGAGTTGAAGGCTGGATAAATGTAATCATTGCATGGATGAATGTAATCATTGCAGAAAAATTATTTGACAACATTAATGACATCTTCACCCACTATAAACCAACATTTCTTGAAGAAGAAGGGAGAGAATCCATCCGGTCCAGGGGTTTTTTCATTGTCTTGGCAAAAGATGGCATTTTGAATTTCTTTAGTAGTGACCTCCTTAACTAGTGAAGAAGAAGCTTCAAAAGTAAATGTAAAGTTAAGGAGATCTTTAAGGATGAAAGGATCAATATCCTTGACTATAGGGTCAGCAATACCAAGCAAATTAGAGAAAAAAATAGTCACTTCATTAGCCATGGCATCAAAAGTTTCAAGCCTATTCCTTCTATCATCAACAAGGACTCTTATAGTATCCCTCTTGTTTTTAAAGGCTACTATAGAATGGAGAATTTTGGAATTTTTGTCACCATCTTTTATCCATTTTACTTTAGCTTTTTGCTTAAGGAACAAAGATTCAGCTTCTTCAAAGGTCTTCAACTAATATTGGATTTCAAGTTCATTCTCAATGGCATCCTCACCTTTAAGAGTGAGAAGCTATTGATTTTCCAGCTCAATTCTCTTTAATTTCACATGATCCGAAAGATTGTTGAAATTGTCTTTGTTGAATCTCTTGAGACATACTTTGAGTCTTTTAAGTTTCGAAAATAAAACCATCATAGGATTGCCTTGAACTTCTTGATGCCAATAATGCCTTACAACATTTAAGAAACTGGGATGAGAAGTCCAAAAATTAAAAAATTTGAAAGTTTTAGGTCTAGTAGCAAGAGACTCTTTTGAAAGCCATATGATGGCCATGCCGTGATCAGAGATTCCAGGAGCAAGGAATTCAACTAATGATTGTTGAAAGAAAGAATCCCAACTAGGATTTATCATAATCCTATCAAGTTTTCTAGCAAGAAAAATCTCTTGTTGCTTATTACTCCAAGTGAACATAGGCCCAAAGAATGGGTGGTCTAGGAGAGCAAGCTCTTGAGTGAACTCTTGAAAATCCTTCATATCAGGAGAAGTGTAAGGGTCTATCAGCTCATGGTCATAACTTTCATGGGAATGCAGGAAAATATTGTAATCTCCTCCTAAGACCCATAGAGCATGATTAACAATAGTGCTTACTTCCTTTAACTTGTGCCACAACTGTCTTCGGTTTATCCCTTCATTACTTCCATAGATTGCTGAAATGAAAACTAGATTACCAAGAGCAATCCCTTTTGCAGTGATACATTGATCAAATACTTGGATTATAGATAAATCAATTCCTTTCTTCCATAACATCCAAATCCTACCATTAGTGGCATGATCATAATTAGTGCAAACATTCCAATTAGAGAATTTTGTGTTAAGGATAACCTCTGATTTTTCCATTTTAACTCTGGTCTCCAAAAGACAAAGAACATCCACATTATTTTGTAAGGCTCTAAGAACCACTTTATTTTGTTTTAGAGGACTATTAAGTCCTCTAATATTCTAGAAACTAATTATCATTGAGGTGGTGTTCCCATGGATCCCCTTTGACTTGCAATTGAATGAGTCTCAACTTTGTCAAGTTGATCTTTCTTTTTTGATTTAAGCTCTTTAACCAAATCAGCAACTCCCATTGATGCAACTCTAGGTTTCCTTGGTTGAACTTCAAAAGAAGGAGAATCTTCAACAGAGTTGAGCACTTCAAATCTGTTTTTTGAACTAGAAAGGCAACCATTTTCAATTTCCTTTCTAGGCCTACCTCTACCTCGTTTAGATGTTTCTAGTTGAGAAGTTTTATCAATAACAGGTGCTTCAATAGTTTGAAGGCTAGATTGATCATTTACAGTAGGATAATTAAGAACAGTAGCTTCAGCAGATAAATTAATAGCAGGAGCTTCAGCAGATTGAAGGCTTGAATGCTAAATTAATAGCAGGGTCTTCAACCATATCATCCTCATGATGCACAATCTGTGAAACATCAACTGCAGAAGAAACTGTGTGCTCCAAATTGTTAGTTGAAATAACTTGTGTTTGCTCTTGCAGAATATTGATTTCAGCTTCATTAGAAATGTTACTAGTTGGTTCCTGTAAAGCTTCAACACCTCCAATATGAATGGTTGTCGAATTAGGAATAGTTCCTCCCTTCTTTTTTCAGACTTGGGAAACAACAGGGATAACATTTGATTTGTGCTAGCATCCTTTTTCATTATGCCCAAACACTTTGTATTTCTTACATGAAGGCGGGAACCAAGGAACCTCAATGTTGATCGAGGTTTTTTTGCCATCTTTAAGTGCAACTTTAATGAACTTAGGAATGACATCGTTAACTCCGATTTTGATACAGACTTTAGCAAACTCAAGCCTAGACTTTGAAGCAGTGATAGTATCCATTGAGAGTGGAACTCCAATGGCACTAGTTATGTCACTAAGGCCTATTCGGGAGAAGAGTTCTAAGGGTACATTGAAAAGATGAACCCAGACAGGGATCTTAGTTAAGTCAAAATTTAGGTTTTTTATATTTGGTTCCCATTTTTGAAGGATTAGGGTTTTGTTATGTATGTGCCATTGACCATTATCGAGAACCCATTATCTGGCAAATTCACTATCAAACGAGAAAATAAACAAATTGTTGCCAGCAGAACTAACCTGAACTCGCGAACCCAACAGTGGTTTACTCCATACATTGTCAACTATTCTTTGCAGAGAAACGAAGCTTGGTGAGACTCCAAGAAACTGACCCACAAGTGATAATTTCCACTCGGAAATTCCAGCTTCAAAATTTTCTGGAAGGGGAAGAACAATCAGGTTTCCATCACGAATATTTGGGGGGGAAACTCTAGGTCTTGCGATTCAGAGCATTTGAATAGTTTTCTCCAATCCATTTGAAGAAAAGTAATGATGTGAGAGAATAAGCCCAATAGCGGAGAAGAATTGAGAAGGCAATCGGAGAACGGTTGACGACGAATTAACAGAAAACTCAAACGCCGTTAGTCCTGCTAACTTGCACCCAGAGCAATCCCTTAACATGCGCCATTTTCTTTATCAATTATATAACTAATAAATTTATTAGCCAGTTATTGCCGTTAATGATTTTAACCACATGTCTTATGGTTGAAGGATGTGAAAAACCTCATTTTTATGAGTTTAATTTATTCCAAAAAAAAGTTGGCATCTAATTCAAAAGCAACACTTTAGACATTTTTCTATATCTTTTTGATGAAAAGTTGTAGGTTTGAAGCAAAATTATTTAATATGACAAATAAAAATAAGAGTTTCATTTATTTACTACTCGAAATTTTATGTGACCTTTTTCGAGCCATAAAATTTGCCATACCTAAAAATTAAATATAAATGGTGTTTTTTTATTTCAATTTGTGTTTTTATTTAATGCGTTAATAATATAATTTTCTTTATAATATATGCAAATTATAAGATGGTTGTGAATAAAGTATAATAGTTATATTTATTTATAATATTAATTACTAATTTATTAATTAATAGTATTATTTTATAATATATCCTACACATTGAATTTACACATTATTGTACTTCTATTATTGGACGGTGATTAAGAATATGAAATTTAGTTACAAGTTTTTTATAATAACATAATTATTCTTATAAAATAGACATTAAAGATTAAAATTAAAAGTTAAATTAACTGACCTATGCATAATTATAATTTTTTGTATTTTTATTTTTGATATTAATAAAAAATTATTTTTATATTTATATTTTTTCTCGTAAAATTTATGTTTTATTTTTTGTGTGATATTTTTTACTGAATAATCTCTTATATAGTACAACAGTAATAACAATTATTATATAAATATAATTAGAGCTGTAAAAAGAGATTTTTTTTTAAAGATGTAAATCATGAATCTGATGTTAACTAATGTTTTAAAACAAATTATTTGCGAATGATTTAATTGAAGGATTTCCACTATTTCTTCTTGTATCTTATTATAATATATATATATATTTGAGGTGAATATTTATTTAAAAACTCTTAATTATCATTTTGATAATAAGTGTTAATATTCATATATATGTAATACTTGAATTCGAAACTTCAAGAAATAACAGTAATTCATTAATCATTGAAATTGTTTAATTCATGCATTATAATATAAGTTTTATTGTTTGTGTTAGGGATGCTTATCGAGCGAGTCAATCGCGAGTTGGGCAGTGCTCGACTCGTTGCTCGTTAAGCTCGTTAAAATTTTGCTCGACTCGTGCTCGTTAAAAAAATTTGTTGCTCAACTCGACTCGTTGTTCTTAAATTCACTATAATTTACCATTTTTTAACTATAGATAAAATCTACAAATAATATATATAACTTAATATATAGATAAAATAACAAATTTAACTAAAAAAATATCAAAAGAGTGTATGAAGTAATTTCAAAGTCAACTTCAAAGTAACAATCTATAAATACACCAAACTAACATATTAAAATTAAGGTAACAATTACAAATACATCAAACTAACATTCTTGAAAAGAGAAAAGAAGTTAAACAATGCAAAAACAATACTAAAAATAAATAAATCAACCTCTCTTCACTCATTCATTGTTGTTTACAATCACCAATTATTAAGCTGCTCGAGAATTTATCGAGTCAAATTGCACTTTACTTTATTTCATTCGTTAAGGTCTCGAATCTAACTCTTATTCAAGTTGAACCAACTCAAATTGAACTTTAATGAAAACAATTCATAAACTATTTAACTCATTAAGCACTAGGGATGACAAACGAGTATAATTTCGTTGATTCCGTACCGTACCCGTTCTAATTGGGGCGGGATGGGTATTAACTTTAGTGGGTAGTGGGCGGGTGATGGGTTTGAGACCTTACCCACCCCGCATCCGCCCGCCCACTAAATACCCATTAAATTTTAGATCATTATAAATTTAAGTATAATTTTAGAGACTAATTTATAAATCTTAATATTGTATAAGATATAACTTATAATTTATATATTTTAAAATCTATATTAACACTTAACTCAGATAATTCTTGGTTTATTTTATTATGTTTTTAATGGACGTGTTTGTTTTATGTTTGTTGCTTATGTATAACTTAAAGTTGCTGTCAGACAGGTCTAGTCGAGTAATTCTTCAATTGGGTAGTGGGGATGAATTTGATAATGTATACGCGTGGACGGGTGTGGATTTGAAAATTTTTATACATCATAAGTGGTGAGTGGTAGATTTAAAAAGTGGTGGGTGGTAGATTTAAAAATATTATGTGGGTATAGAGATAAAAAAGGATATCCGCACCTCATCCCTATTAAGCACGATAACTCATGTCAAACAATCAAAATGATCCGGTTTAATCATCACGGTGGCCTACATGTTTTGAACGACCCTACTCTTTTATGGGCATGCCAATTGCCATGGTGACTTTCTACATTCACTTCACAAATAAATAAAACTCCGATAATAACATTCCATTTTCATTGCCGACACAAATGACAAAGAATTGCTTCTTTTTATAAACCCCCATAATTCATTATGAAACAACATAGCCAATTAATGAGTCACGTCCAGTTTGATTTTATTTTTATTTTTCAATTCTGTATTAAAACTAGTCCAACTAGATTCACGTATAATTTTATTATTTATTTTCTTTTTGGTATTTATAATTTTATTATTTCAAAAATATAAAATATTCTATATAATTAATATTGATTTTAATTTTAATTCAATAATTTTATTTATTTTAAATTAATTATTCCAGTTAAGCCTGTTAGACCAACATTTAAAATACAATACCAAAAGTGTTAATCTTTAAACCTTTGGACAACTATAGTAGTAAGATTTATGTACTTATCTCTTTTTGTGGATTTAATCTATTCGAATTAAATATTAAATTCATAAAAATTAATTTAAAACTAAAATTAGAATTACAAGAAATTAAATTATTCAAACTAATTGACTTACGGATTCTAGAGTGAATACTTCGAACTCTTTTTAATCAATAACTTGAGTTGCACATGTTCAACATGATAATAATTAAAACAAACTCAAATCGTCCGTTTGGTTCGCATGAATCTATTAGAATTAGGGGGAATTGAAATATAATTCTACCACTTTCTCATGTTTGGTTCAAGTTTTTCAAGTGGCTTCAACTTTCCATCAAATGAGGGAAAGTGAATTTCATCTATTTTATGATGGAATTCAATTCCCTTGTTAGAGAGAATTGAAATTTGACTATACTACCCTCATCAATATTTTGGTAACTTATTTATATATTGAATAAAAATATTTTTTATTACGGGTCGGGTTTATAATTCATATATTCGAGTCGGGTCGGGTCGTTGTTTTAAGTATGATATTCGGGTCGGGTCGAGTTCCTGTTTAGGGTGAAAAATATCTGACCCGAAAATATATATAATTTTACCTTATATATTTAGGAATAATTACAATAATACCCCTATATTTATTATTTTTTTCAATTAAGTCACTGCTTTTATTGAATAACAATAATTTTTTTATTATTTAGGGTTGGGTCGGGTTTCTAATTCATATATTCGGGTCGGTGAAACTTTATTTTGGTCGGGTCGGGTCGGTTTTTTTAAGTGTGATATTCGGGTCGAGTTCGGGTTTAGGGTGAAAAATACCCGACCCGAAAATATATATAATTTTACCTTATATATTTATGAATAATTATAATAATACCCCTCTATATATAATTTTTTTCAATTAAGACACTGTTTTTATTGAAAAAAAATATATTTTTATTTCGGGTCGGGTCGAATTTCTAATTCATATATTCGGGTCGGGTCGGGTCGGTTTTTTTAAGTGTGCTATTCGGGTCGGGTTCAGGTTTAGGGTGAAAAATACCCGACCCGACTCGACCCAAAAAATATATAATTTTACCTTATATATTTAGGAATAATTACAATAATACCCCTCTTTATATATATTTTTTCAATTAAGTCACTGTTTTTATTGAATAAAAATAATTTTTTTATTATTTCGGGTCGGGTTTCTAATTCATATATTCGGGTCAGGTCGGGTGAAACTTTATTTTGGTCGGGTCGGGTCTCGAATGGAGGTTTCCTTGTTATCGGGTCGGGTCGGGTGGACCAAAAACCCGACCCGACCCAACCTATGGCCATCCCTAATTAGGATGATTTTAACTTATGATGTTTATTAGCATGATTTTTATAATTTATTAAAATGAATAATCAATCAATAAAATTAAAATTTAATTTTTTTAAATTTTTATAATATATTGCTACATGTAATTTATAAAACAAACTAAAATTAAGCAAAAAAAAAAACAAGAAGGGCAATCCTGTCATTTTACATTACTGAAATCAAATTTATCTGACATGTCTGCGAACCAAATAGAATATGGAATTGAATTCCAATTCAACTTCCTGCCAACCAAACAGAATATGGAATTGGATCCAATTCCTGACAGATTTCAATTCATTCACAGATTCCAATTACCTCAGAAACATTCCAACGATCCAAATGCCACTTTAAAGTTTTTCATCTGAATTGTGTTGGGTAAAGAGATTATTTTCATATTTTCCATTAATTTAGATAAATATAAGATAATATTTATTTAAACACACTTAATTATTTAATATTAAACATTCATATATTCACACATATATAATACTTGAACATAATACCTCAAGAAATAATAATATTTTTAATCACTAAACGTCGTTTAATTTGTATTCATATAATTTTTCTTGATTAATCTGTGATAATTGCAAGGTAATAACTGTTCAAAGATTATTCTTAATTATTTGACATTGATTGATCCTACCTCTGACATTGTCGATCGAACCTAGGACCTCATAACATGTAATCATGCTTATAAAAATAAAATAAAATAATTTTAATCTTTAATTTTTAATTTTTTTAATTTAGTGTTAAATTTCTTGATCTATATGATTTTTGAAATTTAGATTTTTAATTTTTAATCTTTAATCGACGTGACATTATAATATTCTAGTCACTTAATATTATTTCAAAATGATAAAAACAGACAAAATATCAAATTCATGGGGGGAAAACAATGTTAATACATTTGGACTAAAGATTGTTTTATCCTTTACATTAAATATAGGGAATGGTGTCTAGGTTCAGTTTTGTTATAATTTCATTTCTATGAAGAAAAAAAAAAGTTGTTTTTTTCCTTCCTCGATCTCCGTGTTAAGAAATAATGGTAATAACGTGACGTTAATCTCGCCATTTTGCATGTGCTTGCCTTCCCATCACTCTTGCCTTCCTCCCAAACACCCAACACTCATCAGGCTCCCTCCCTTTCACTTTATTGTCGCCTTTCTTTCCTCTTCCATTGATTTTTCCGTTGCAGAAAGTCAAGCAAACAGAACCTTTTCTCCCCCGAAAACTCCTCTCATCACCGTTACCGACATCCTCAGTATCTCACAGACCAATCAAATCGTTCCACTTCAGCAGGCGCCAAATGAGATCCTCTGCCTCCACTGCCATTTCCACTACAACCAATGCCGTGAACCCCCTTATAACCTTCGATCTCAATAGGTACTCTCTTCTCGCCGCGTGTCCGTTCTATTTCTCTCTCTCTCTCTCTCTCTGATCCATCAACGCGACGATCAGATCTTTTTTCCCCTTCTTTTTTTTAATCATTTTTTGACTGTTTTGACTTCGATTTGGACTTGATAATGTGAAATATGATTTAAAGTATTTGTGTTGAAAATATGAGAACGTGTTGTTTTCTAGTGTAAATCGACAATTTGATGCTGATTGCAGGTAAATTCTACCTCCATTTTGATTGAATTTTCATTTTTTATCCATTTATTTTGATTTTATTTAGGTGAATTTTTCATGATCAAGAATTTATTGGCGTCTATCAGTGTTTAGTTTAGTAATTGAACGATGCGGTGGTGTTTGCCAGTTATTTAAGTTGGCTTTTACTAAGAACGTTGATGAAATTCGTGATCTTTTATTGAGTTTTTTTTTTATGGAAATTAGTTTGCTTTTGGAGCAAATGAAACTGGAATTGAGTGGGTAATGGAAGGTAGAGTATGTTGTTTTCTAGTGAAAATATGAAAGTATGTAATGTCTGAAATCTGAATGTCGATTGAAGGTAAACTTAAGTTGTACTTGGATTACATTACTTGATTTCGCCTTCCGTTTGTTGTTTCTGCTTATTTCTTGCTCTAGATTTTATTTTGCAATTAGTTTTCTTGCTTTTGAAATTGGTTATCTTAGGTTAATATTGCTAGTGATTTTAAGTTTTAAGATAGCTTTAGTTTATTAGAATGTTGTGGTAATCTTTGATTGTTAGAGGTTGAAGGCAACAAATTTAAGTTAATTTTTGCATAGAATATTGTGGATTTGAGATATTTTCATGGAATGATCTGCTGTTAGTATGAAGGTTTCTTTGAACTTTTTCGTGATTATATAGATTTTATTATTGACAGGGATGCGTATGGATTTGCTGTGAGACCTCAACATGTTCAAAGATACAGAGAATATGCTAATATTTACAAGGTATCTGGTTTCTACCTCTGCTTTTAATCTAAGCTCGTCACCTTCTTTCAGCTGCTGAAGAAAAACCAAAACAGAACAGGATAAGTAAATGCTAACTCATATACCATGCTGAACATTGACAATGTATCAGAGTTATTCTCTGAATCTATAGAATAACTTCAGCAAATAAATTAATATTTTTTAATAATATAATTTCTGTTGATATTTAAAATTAGCATCTTTCCCCTAATCCTTTTTCCTGCCCAGTACGGTCCCTGAATAATATGAAGCTCTATGATTCAGAAATTCAATACTTTCTTTGACTAATTCTTGGGCGACTGAATGTAGACCAAACGAAATAATTTCAGCTAAGATGAATAACAGGTTTATATTGTATCTAAACCCGTGATTTTAGGAAGAAGAAGAGGAAAGATCAGATAGGTGGAGTGATTTTCTGGATCGCCAAGCAGAGTCCGCTCAATTCCCTTGTGAAGGGATACCTTCAAAGGAAGGCAAGGAAGTCTCACATGCTGAAGCTGCAGAGGACGGGAACAATGAAATGCAGAAGGGAGCTGAAGGAGACGATTTATATGAAAAGAAGTCTGGTTCTGATAGTATATCTGAGAATAATACAGAAAAAGAGAAGGTACGGTCTGAACCAGAGAAAAGAGTTCACTTAATCCAGATATGGACTGAAATCAGACCATCCCTCCGAGCAATTGACGATTTAATGAGTATTCGCGTGAAGAAGAAAGACAGTTCATCTAAAGATGAGCGAGAAACTGATCGAGGGAAGCCGTTAGCTCCTACTGAAGATGCTAGATTCCTAAAGGGAGCATCAGAGGAGGATTCTGAGGATGAATTTTATGATGCAGAGAGATCTGACTCTATTCAGGATTCCCCTACAAGTGACAGCGGGAGTACCACTATAAGTGCTGCTGCAGTGGATGCAGCATCTATAGAATCTTTGTTTCCTTGGAAAGAAGAGTTGGAAGTTCTTGTTCGTGGTGGAGTACCAATGGCTCTTAGGGGAGAGGTATTTTATTTGATGTACTTTCATTTTCTCTTGATCTTCCATACTGCCTATTTTCTTCATGAACTTGGTCATTACAGCTTTGGCAAACCTTTGTTGGTGTGAGGACACTTCGACTGCAGAATTATTATCAGGATCTGCTTGCTAATGAAAATAACTTCGGCAACAACACTGAACAACAGAGCTTCTCGTCAGATTGTAAGGGTTCAGCCATAGAGTCAATATGTGGACCTGAGAAATGGAAGGGGCAAATTGAGAAGGTTGTTCCATGTGCAGTTCTCTGAATTCTGTTTCTTCAGCAGCTGATGTTACCATTTTTTTGGTGTTACTGTTATTAGTTTGCGTTTCATAACTGATTAATGGTTCTAAAAGCAGGATTTGCCCAGGACATTCCCAGGTCACCCTGCTCTAGATGATGATGGTAGAAATGCTTTGAGACGATTGCTTACAGCCTATGCTCGACATAACCCCTCTGTTGGGTACTGTCAGGTATTAGGTTCAGAAATATGTTTCCCATGTCTGTGTTTGGAGAGTTTTAGCTTTAATAGGGATAAGGGTTTTTTTTCTCATGCAGGCCATGAATTTCTTTGCTGCCTTGTTACTCCTCTTGATGCCTGAAGAAAATGCCTTCTGGTAGGTTATGAGACTCAATTGAGAAAATTCCTTGCAAATCCCATATTCCTTGTTCTATCCATGAAAATTTATTTTAAAAAGGGTTTCAGATTGAGACATATTTTGTTGCTGGAACATAATCAGTCTCTGTTATGCACATGATTTGCATGTTCCGTATCTTGTTTATTTGGTGGAATTCACTATGTTTAATGGGTAGCATGGCCGTTAATAATAAGTGCATTATTGGCTTTATATCCTTTTAAAGTGGTGGTATACATTCCAGGACTTTGGTGGGCATTATTGATGACTATTTTGATGGCTATTACTCGGAGGAAATGATTGAGTCTCAGGTAATATTTTGCATAACTCTTTTTCTCCTTGTCAGTCGATTTCTACTATCTGTTTTCTCCTAATTGAGAGAGTTAAAGCAGTTGATGGTTATTATTTAGTCATTATCCTGGTAACTTGTGGCTTTTGTTAGGTTGACCAACTTGTTTTTGAGGAGTTGATGCGTGAAAGATTTCCCAAACTGGGTTTGTTTTCTTTTCAATATCTGTTCCTTTTGTGCTTGAATTTTTCCACGTGTCTTACCATTGCATTTTTTGGCCGGGCAGTTTATGATAGACATTTTTTGTTCATTGCAGTCAATCATCTAGATTATCTGGGAGTGCATGTGGCATGGGTTACTGGACCTTGGTTCCTTTCCATTTTCATGAACATGCTTCCCTGGGAAAGTGGTCAGGTTCTATGCTGTGTCTTGTAGCAATATTTTACTAGTTACACAATTTATCACACTATTTTAGAAGTTCCTTTTTTGGTTGTCGCCTTTGTTGCTAGTTTACTGATGCTGCACTCTCTTTTAGTAATTGCAATAACCCGTCCTTACAAGTTTCCTGATGGGTTTCTCCTCATTACAGTGCTTCGAGTCTGGGATGTGCTCCTGTTTGAAGGAAATCGTGTCATGCTTTTTAGGACAGCACTTGCTGTAATGGAGTTATATGGTATGGGGACATGAATGTTCTGAAATTTATGATATTATCAGGAAAATTGAGGCTTGGAAATAATTACAATGGGTTGCTTTAATCTGCTAAATGTAACTAAATTTTCTTACAGGCCCTGCACTAGTTACAACTAAGGATGCGGGAGATGCAGTTACTTTACTGCAATCATTGGCTGGCTCAACATTTGATAGCAGTCAACTTGTTTTGACAGCTTGTATGGGTTACCAAAATGTCAATGAAAAAAGATTACAGGAGTTGAGAGAGAGGCATCGGTCAGCTGTAATAACTTCAGTTGAGGAAAGATCAAAAGGGCTTCAAGCTTGGAAAGATTTCCAGGGCCTGGCATCTAAGCTATATAATTTTAATCATGACCCTAAATCAATGCTTATGGAAACAAATAGGACAGGACAACTGGTTGATTTACAAACAAATGTGGATCTCTCTAGTTCAGAGTCTGGATCCATGAATGAGGACAAAGTTCTTAGTAGTCTAACTGGGAATGCTGAGTTGGATGCTATACCTGATTTACAAGAGCAGGTATCATTTACATTTCCCTTTTCGTGAATACAAGATTTCATGTTTTTAGTGTGGCATTTTGTCTGTGAGTGGATGATCTCGATTCCACAGCCAGTAGAATAGACCCATTTTGCATGACCACTTGTTTGGATATTGAATTTGAATAATTTGATGCACTCTCTGATCTTTAGGAGAATTTTTTCTAGTTCCATACACGCTTGACCCTACCATGGATACTGTTGTACAGAATTTAACAGAAGATATTTCCTTAAAGGTGATTCAGAAGGATTCATGGTGACCAGTCACAGTTGCTTGGATCTATGCTTAATTAGTTGAATAATTCTTGTCAACAATGATATATGCATATGTTAGATTATGTCATGGTCTTTTTTCCTACTATCAAGTTTTTGAGCCATATGAAACCTATTTGATATGCTGTCAAGGATGATCACATTGATCCTGAAGTTCATATCAGAACTTTTATTTTGCCATGTTTTATAAACTCTAAATAAAAATGAAATCTATTTATTTTTCCGTGTTGATTTTTGTGTTGATTTCATATGCATTAAACAACCTACCTTGGTTAACATAAGCCTCACTAATAAATTTGGATCCCCCTAAAATTTTCAAATTCTTATATATTTTAGATATTTTCTTTGTATTTTCTATTGAAATTATGTTTTCGCCCCCCTAAAATTTTAAAAGTTCTCCCCTACTTAAAATTTTGTAAGTACACCTCTCCTAATATAAAATTTTGCGTCCGTCCCTGTTTATAGGCCTAGCAAGTTGAAGAAATTAGGAAATTATACCCAAATGTATTCTTCGATTGTCTTGTGTTCATGCATGGGATTTTTTGTTAGCTTGTTTTATGTTGTTCCAATAGTCTTAATTTCTTATTAAAATCATGTGCAGGTTGTATGGTTAAAGGTTGAGTTATGCAAGTTGCTGGAAGAGAAAAGATCAGCTGTCCTCAGGTCAATAATTTTGATGGTTTTCAAGTTTTGCAACCCTCGGCTTGCCATAGACTGTTTAAAAGAGGCAGTGCAATTTAATTTGTTGGTTGTATATTTTTATTCTCACTTGCTCTTTACCTATATTATTATACATGAACATATCTTAGCTACATTACCATGGTGTACAGATTGGATATTTAACTATGCTATCTTAGCATTTTATGCTGGAATTCTTGGCTTATTTGTTATAAAATAATTGTGTTTTCCCTTTCTGCCAAAATAAGCCTTTTTGGAAGTGACACTGACGATCTCACTTCTTCCTCGTTTGTTTCAGATCTGAGGAGCTAGAGACGGCTTTGATGGAGATGGTTAAACAGGATAACCGACGTCAATTAAGTGCTAGGGTAAACTGGAAAAATTTATTAGTGGCAATCATTTTGACATGTACATATTGTCTTTCCAATTTTTTTCCATTTCTCTTTGCCAATTTTTACAGTAGGTTTTCCAACTTTGTTAGGACCATTATTGAACTACAGTCATCTTTATACTTGTTTGCTTGCTTTTTTACCTAGCACTTTGTGCTCCTTAATTGAGTTGTATGCCGGGATTCTCAATGTATGTTCTATCTCTAGCCGATACAGAGCATACAAATTGATTGATGTTTCTATCGTACTACCAGAACTTGCAAAAAACCCTAGTTTCTGGTTGTCATGCTTCTTGCCTGATTCATTGATATACGCTATACAGCTTGCTAGCAATCTATATGCTTGATGTTGGATGTTCCCTAACTTGAAAGTTGCTAGGCTTTTTCGTCAGAGAAATATATTGCATGCTAAGCATCCACATCTTATTTTTAGGTGGAACAATTAGAGCAAGAAGTTGCTGAGCTTCGTAATGCACTTTCTGAGAAGCAAGAACAAGAAAACGCAATGCTTCAGGTTTGATTGGTTTTCCTCGTGTTCAATTAGAGGAAATTTGTCTTCTCTTGTTATACATGTTTTGATGATTATGAGATTCATTACACATATTTTAGGTCCTAATGCGAGTGGAGCAAGAACAAAGGGTAACTGAAGATGCTCGCAGATTTGCTGAACAAGACGCTGCTGCCCAAAGATATACTGCTCAAGTGCTTCAGGTACTAAAATAAAATTGTTACAATTGAGGGACCAAATGAGATATTAACCAATAATTTAATGTGACATGTCATCCCCTCAACATCAGCTAATGGAAAGGTGCCCATCTTATAACAAAATCAAAACTTTAATGTTTATTTTTTGTAATTTTTAAAAGTTGTGACAAAACAATCATTTCAGCATAGTTTAATTACCATTTGCATACCTTGCAATAACGTGCTCTTTTCCATTTCTAGGACAAGTCCCTCCCCCAAAAAAAGAGAAAGAAAGCAATGCTAGTACTGAATATACGTTTATTTGGTTTCATCATCATTTGTTTAATGCAGGAAAAGTATGAAGAGGCTGTTGCTTCACTTGCTGAAATGGAGAAAAAAGTTGTAATGGCAGAATCAATGTTGGAGGCTACCTTACAGTACCAGTCTGGTCAAAGTAAAGTCCAACCTTCTCCACGGTGCGTAATTAACCTTTCTCCAATTTCAATTTTTTTATGCTTGCGAATTTTTAATCGGCTGTGTATATGTGTCTGGAGCCAGAGATTTGGTGATGACAACATTATACTGTTTTTCTGTGATGTTACTCTTTCTATTTCTTGCAACGACATTACTCATCATGCTTGTGGATAGGTTTCTCCCTTCTAATAATTATAAAATAACAGATCACCACATCTGAATTCACCAGCACGCAGCAACCAAGAGCCCCAACAAGAAATTCCTGCCCGGAAGATTAGTTTACTTTCCCGACCATTTGGACTTGGCTGGCGTGACAGAAACAAGGTTTGTTTTCTCAGTTTTACTGATAAGCTGACTGTGGTTTGTTTGATTGAAATGCTGGGATGACTCAACAATTGGCATAACAAAGTAACGAATCAAGAAAGATATATACATTTCCTTATCGTAACAATATCCAACAAAACAGGGACAGCCAGGTAATGCTGATGCACCGAACAACGGGAAGCCCTCAAACGTGGATCAGAATACTGAAATCCAACAGAAAGACACAATCGATAAGGAAACAAACGGCAAGGAAACAAATGACGAGGAAACAGATAGAATCGAAGTTCAAGATAAGGCGTGAGAGAAGTGCTGGTATGTCTTGTTTAAATACCTGCATACATCGCCGAATCCTTCATTTGATGTCTGCAATTCATCCATTAAGTAGCCATGGTAAATAAAATATTGAAATTTAGCATCAGCAATGCAGTAGAATCAATAAGTTTGCCCTTTGTATTTTTTATCGGAAAACCAAAATAATACTCGTAGCCATTATTTTTCATTTGTAACCAATAATGCTTGTCCGTAGAAGTAGAGGAAATGCAATACCAAGAGACAAGAATAGAAAATCAACTGTAAGTATATGTATGGTTTTCCCCCTTTTTCTTTCTTTCAATTTCTAGTTAATATTTCATTTTTATATTTTGGGTCACTTTAGTATTGGTCGAATATGTTCCTCAATTTTGCTTTCGTTATTATTAAATTATTGTTATATTAAAACTCAATTGTGGAATAAAACTTAAATAGATTTAAAATAAATAAATAAATAAATAAATGCAACATTTTTTTTATTTTTTATTTTTTTGCAAAGCAACTATTTGATGACGATTTGGAGCTACCCAATATCCAATATGTTACTTCTTATATTGTTATTACACTCAAATAGTTCTTTGACATCTAATGTGTATAAATGAGTATTCAGTTTTTAATTTATATTTAAATAAAATTTGGCATAAATAAAACTAAATTTTATTTAAAATAAGAGTATATTTAAAAGCAAATCAAATAAGAGTATTTTGAATATAATGAAATGTAGATCCTTAAAGAATAAAATAATTTCGACATTTATTTAAAATATGTTAGGCAAATATTATTTCACACAGCAATGAATGTGATAATTTTTTTGATAAGTTCCAAGAAAAAAAATCAACTTATAAGTTTATTGAGTATCATATCAAAATAGATAGTGGAGGACTAAAATGAAGGGAAATAAATGTTGTTGAGGGTTCAGTGGATTGCAATAAAAAGATAAAACCTCGAATGATTAGTTGGAGGTTCTTTTTATAATTAAACCAAAATGAATAAAACCTTTTGTTACTTGCTATTTCGCCCCTCATCAACATGGGAACGGCAGTTTGTATATCAAAAGACGTTTTGCATACAAAAGCTCAATTGTACATCAAGAACAATTTTTTGGAGAAAATGAGATGCCGAAAGGGTTTCAACCAAAAACAAAAAAAAATGGAGGAAACTCCTGTTACATTAGACAAGGTGAGGACGGTAATCGGACGGGCTATCAGGATTTGCAAAATTCCACGCTTGGCAGCGAATTCCAGGCCGAAGAATCATAAATCTCAAACATACGAGAACCTGTTGTTTCTTAATATCGATCATCAGCTGCCAATGAATTCAATTTTTCTCATAATAGTAAATGGTTGATTCCGCTTTACCTGAATTATTTCTCGTCTCATTCTTGGAGTGGAAGAACTGGTCCGAGATCCTTGAACTGAATGAGTTCTGGGATCATTCTTTGCGACGCAATATAGGTGAGGGCAGTGACTACATTGGCTATTAGTGGCCGCATATTTGGCTGTTCTTGAACACACATTGCAGCCACAGCTAGAGCAGGGTACAAACCCCTCTCCGGATATTGTCCCTGAAGTAATGGATCGACCATTTGGGCAAATTTTCTCCGATTTTTAAACAATGGACGGGCCTGTTAAAAACAAGCCTCTTAAATAAATAAAAAATAATAATAACGATTTATGCAATTACATAATATATGGGGGGGGGGGGACTAAAAGACTGGCAACATTTTATCACGCTTCTTTCCAGTTTTACTTTCTTCATCGGAAGGATTCAGATCAAATAATTCTCTCCAATTTTACACCCTAAAAATTAAATTTTCTTTAATTAATTATTTATTTTACTGATTGTATCTACTTGAAATTTTATTTGTGCTCATCTTAAAATTCAAGTTTTTTTCAATTAATTATCTATTTTACTGATGATGTCTATTCTAAAATTTTATTTGTGTTTATCATATTCAAAAAATTTATTTTATTAATATATATATATGTAACACTAAAAAATACTTGTGAATCCGTCAATGACTCTATGAAAGTTTTCTTCTTTATGCAATTGTGCCCTTTGGGTTTTGTTAATTTTTGAAAATTAAGAAATATGTAAATCTGTTCATAAGCGGTCTAGATTTAGCAAATAAAGAATTTAGGGTAAACTATTTCGTGTTATTTCTACATAAAAGTTTACAAAATATTCAATTATAGAAACCATAACATTATGATTCAAACATTCAGATTGTAAAAGTATTTATGAGTTATACAGAATTAATTACTCTATTTTTTTCATAATTTTCTCTCAGATGCATGTTTTTTTTTAAATAGGGTACTTTGTATTAATAACGACACAAAGTACACCACCTCAAGGACCTCGTTAAAAAAACTTCCCTAACCTTAAGTAGAGGAAAAAGAGTGTAACTTGAGGTGGTTAGAATGAAAGCCAGAAAATTACATACACCAAGTAGCCATAAACAAGAAAAACAATACTCTCCCGCTCACAGCTCATACCATTTCGTTCCTAACCACTTAGGATGAAATAGAACAGAAAAACAGCAGCTATAAGACTAAACCATCACCGCAGCAGAATTTAGAACCCACCCAGCAACAGAGAACTGATTCGGCAACCCTGAAACAGGAAAATAATGAAACAAGCATAGCACCAGCCAACAAAGGATGACACGGTTCTTAACTCTCAGGCATCACCCAGGTGATCAAACAACAACGAACAACCCTGAACTCAAAGTTAAACATAGACAGCAAAGAACGAAAAAACAATCCATTCACATCACGCCAGCATACTATGGTCTCAAAATCCTCATTCGAAACACAATTCCGAAAACAGAAACAACGAAACAGCACCTATGATTCATGTCCTTATACGCTGGAAGCAAAGACCAACAGCAAACCAAGAAATCGACAACCAAAAGCATCCAGCGGAATCACAACCAACCAACCGCAGACTATACAAACCAAGCTAATATTAAGACAACACCAGCTCCATTGACTAACGTCAATTAACCACCTCCACAGAAAATAATAGATTCCGGACTTCGAACAAAATCTTGAGCATAAGGGATCATTTCCGGCCATAAGAAATTTGCCCAAATCGCCACCTGAATCAAAGCAACATTAAAAATCTGATCCACCGAGTAAGAACACCCATTAAATCTAGCTTTGTTCCTGCACACCTATATTTTCCAGATCAGGCCAAAGAAACCAAGGTACCATAAATCCCGGACATGCCTCCTTATATTCTGCGAGAACCAGACCGAATAACTCCTTAACATTCAAAGGAAAAATAATGTTCAATCTCCACAAGCTGCACCATCGCTGCCATGCTTGCCAAACAACGTTGCAATGACACAACACTTGATTAATTGTTTCCAAATCGCTATTACAAAATGAACAAAGAGGCATAACATTACCGAATACTCCACGTTTTGCCAGCTCAACGATAATCGGCAACCTACGATGCATAGCTTTCCAAACAAAAATAGAAACTTTAGGGGGACAAATTTCAGCCAAACCTTTTTCCAAATTGGATATTCCACCTTACCCAACAAGCCAGCTTAGAACATAACACTTTTGAATAATAACGCCCATCCTTAGAACCTGACCAAAATAGTCTATCATCGCTGAGACTGCACTAGCAGCCCTATTCAAGACCAGCATAAAATCAATCCAGAGAGATTTTTCCCAATCAAAAAGAGCTTTCCTCAATACAATTCTCCATTCCCAAACTCCGTTAGCCCAAAAACCAAAATCGCATATCTTCCCAGTTTTCAAGAGGCTAACCCAAAAATTATGGGAAAGGAAACTTTGAGAGAAACCACCTCAGTCCAGAAATCAGACCAGAAATCAATTTTAGACCGTCGCCCATGACACACTCTATTCAGATAGAAAAGCCACCTCATTGGAACCTACCAGATTGACAATTTTGCGCCACACTCAAGAAGCATTTCGCTCATTCACAGCTTTGGGAATAAGCGAATCCTGATCATAATTATACTTTGCAACCACAAACTTTTTCCATAAGCTGTTGTTATCCTCGCTAAAATGCCAAATCCATTTGTTAAGCAAGGCACAGTTTCTACTTTTAACATCAAAAATGCCCAACTCACCATGAGATTTTGGTCTACAAATATTTTTTTCACTTAATCCAATGAATACCTCGCTGACTTAGGATTCCAAAGAAAGTTAGCTACATTTATTTAACCAATCGGCTATTCCAGAAGGAATAGCCGAAAAATAGACAAGTAAACAGGTAAATTAGCCAAAACAGACTTAATCAACGTAAGTCTACCCCAAACGAAAGCAGTTTACCTTTCCAAGTATCTAAATGAAATTGACTTTGTCCACAATAGGTTTCCAAAAAGACTTGGAATTCCTTTTAAAACCAAGAGGAAGACCCAAATAGGTCGAAGGAAGACCTGCCCAACCACAAGAAATAGCATCTGCCCACCTTCTTACTCTTTCTTCTTCCACATTAATCCAAAAAATCTTCGTCTTGTTTAGATTAAGCTTCAAACCAGCCGCCACTTCGAAAATTTTAAGAACGCGATAGAAATTTTTTAACTGACGTTCATCACCTTCCGAAAAGATGAGTAGGTCATCCGCAAATTGAATATGTGATAAGACAATGCTTCCAGACCCAACTCGAATTCCTTCACATAGATCAAGCTCCATCGCTTTCTTAAGCATGCTACTAAGAGCCTCACCAACAATGAATAAAAACGGCGACAACGGACAACCTTGCCTAAGACCCCTCTTAATAGAGAAATTATTAGAGGGACACCCATTTACAAGCACGACAATCAAGGGGTCGAAATACACAATGAACTCATTTTCTCCATCTTCTGCCAAAACCCATTTTCTTCAAGATAAAATTCAAAAATTGCCAATCTACTAAGTCATAAGCTTTACTAAAGTCCGCCTTGAATAAGATCGCTTCTTTTTTGTTTTTAAATAGCTCATCAATTACTTCATTCGCAATCAGAATACAATCGACCATCTGTTTACCAACCATAAAAGCAAACTGGTTTTCCCTAATCACTTCATTCATACAATTTGACAACCTCTTTGCCAACACGCGAGACATAATTTTATACATGTTGCCCACCAAGGAAATAGGTGTAAAATCTTCAGGTGACATTGCATCAACTTTTCGGGATTAGCGCAATAAAGGATTTATTAAATGAAGGGTCAACAACCCTACCCGAATAAAAATCAGCCATAAATCTCATCACGTCTTCTTTAATTATCATACAGAATTTCTTAAAAAAATCCAAACTGAACCCATCCGGAC